TCCACAACTCCATTTTCGAATGCCTTCATAAACGTGTGGTATTTTAGTGGATTGCCATCAAAAATATGGGGATTTCTCTTTTGGGTAACGTTGCAAGACATTTTTGTTGAAGTAATAAAGTTGTGATGTCATTTTGCTTTTTCATTATTCCAAGAATATTATTTTTATTTTCCATATTCGATGCATTCACTTCCATATTTGAATCCAAAAAACACTATTCTGGGGCTTTGGTATTTATTGTTGTTTCGGTGTTTTTAATTGAAGTCTTTTGATTCATGTTCATTGTTGCATTTAGTTTTGGTGCAGGCATGAACTCCACAGCATTCACATTCAATGGCATCTTTGATTTGTTCAAATAAGAGCTCATTCCATCTGAGAGTTTTGAAGTTCTACTTCCACTTGTTGTGCTTCGTGTCTTGAAAATGTCCAATGTTCCAGTTGTAACTTTTCTTTTCTTTTGCGCAGCCGTTATTCCTCCTCTTCAATTGCATGCCTTTCATTTAGTGAGCGTTGTCTTGCAGCCAGAGCAGCCAGCTCGGCCTCAGCTTTCAGACGTGCAGATGAAGCTGTAGATATGAGAGATTGTGCACTTTTGTTACTTCCAGTATTTGAAGCACTGTCACTTGGCTCAATGTCATCCTCAGTCACACATTTTGTGGTCATTTTAAGCACATTTGTTTCAAAATCCATACATTTGTTGCTTTGAGTTAACTCTTGTTCATTTCCATTCATTTGTTCATTTTCAGTTGACACTGAGGGCATATTTCTCATTTTCATTTAAGTTTTGTTCAGTGCTGTAAATCCATTGTTTCACATCATTTTGAAATGTCTCAGTGTATTTTGTGATGCTTTCAAACCACTCCTTTTGTTTCATAACCTCTTCTTTTGGAATTAATGGCAATAATTCACTTTGTGCAGCATTGGCAGAAAAATACAGTTTGCTCAGGTTTTCCATGTCATCCTTTATTTGAGAAACATTTTCCTTTTGATTCATCAAACCTTTTATTTCAGGTATCAACCCTTTAATTTTATTGACAAAACCTTTGCGCTCATTTTGAAGTTTTTCCACCTTGTACGCCAAAGCCTTTTCAGTGAGTTTGATCTCACGTTTCTGAGACTCCATTTCAGGCCGCACCACCCGTGTCACTCATTTTAATATATATAATATATATTCAAATATATATTTTCAAGTTCTTTATTAACCCTTAAAAGACGATGCCATCGCCGATGATGGTTGCGCACATGTTTTACATGTGATCAATTTACTCGCGAACCGTAAAAGCTAGCAACATTCCAGCCTTTCCGAAACGGGCTTCGGTTTGCCTGTGCGATGCACGGAAGATAAACTGCGTGTGTACAATTGGCTTCACACAGCCAATTGTAAAGTTGTTTACTCAAACGGGGACTCGCACAAAGATCAGAGAGTAGGATCTCTCACTCCTGCGTGTACTTGCTGTTGCAGAGGCAGCAGCGCTCAGAGGAGCCAGGAGTGCACATTATTGAGAATAGACAATAATAAATACAGTAAAATGATATTATGTGTATATAATGTATTTGTGTATATAAATTAGATGTTTTATTTATTTTTTTGTCTTAGTTTGTTTTGTTTTACGTATTTTACAGCTGTGATACAGAAGCAACCACAGCCTCATAGACAAACTGCTTGAGGAAGGGCATCAGGAGTACAGCGTTTTTGGCTTTTATAGTGGAATTTTGTAAAAAGTATAATAGTCACTGGTTCAATATTTTTCCCCCTTATCCCCAAGACCATAAATAACATTTCTATGGAGTCTAAAAAGTTGTTTATAGCATTTCATTGTGTTTTTTCAATACAATTTTGTGAAATTGATTTTCCGTTTAATTTTTTTTTTTGTCTTCATGATTCCATAATCATTATATAATTGATATGACAGCTCCAAAATATGAATATTCTAAAAGCCCAGGTTGTACTGAAAAAAACAAAGTATACTGCTTGACTCTGCATCAAAAGATGACTGTTTTATGAGAAATTTTACACACAAAAAACTAGGCGAGGAAAGTTCCCCAAAATGACTCTAGACCTTGGAGGGTTAAATACACGTCACAATAAACTCATTCAAACACGTGTAACAATGATTATGGAATCATTTCATTTCAACATATCGGCATAATCACTTTTCACAATGAAACTCCAGAGCAGCGCATTATTTAATCCACAATTGAAGCATGGACTCCTGTTGCATCCGAGCATTTATTCCTTGATGTCCAGACACAAGCAGTATGTATAGACTTTAATGCACGGATTCCTTTTCCACAAACAAACGGTGACAGGTGGGCTTACCTGCTCTCTGTGAAATGGCGTTTGGATGAGTCTTTGTCCAGCGCGTAATGGCATGGCACAGTTTACTCACATGGCTTCATCCTGGTGCTTGTGGGCAACATTGCGAGCGGTGGCTTTCATTGTCTTTAATGCCCTTTTTGTTGACAAAATGTAGCGACCCAAACCTATGTCGCTTCTGGAGAGAAGAGTGCGGGTCCAGTATAATGGATGACGTGCAGCCGATTGTAAAGAATACGCTGGAGCCACGTAATGCGTTTTGTGGATTTAATTGTATCTGCGGTTTATGATTGTTACAGTGCATATGAGAAAAACAGAAAACAAAAGAATATGGAACAAAAGTGTGTGGTCAACAAAAAATACAGCTACCCGGCTTCTCCCCTCTCCCTGTCGCTGAGCAGGAAGCGAGTGCCTTTCAAAACTCCCGGCACAACACCCATGCCCATGAACCAATAGATATGGCTCCTACAATTAGCAAAAAGTCTCCAGTGTGCACAGACAAATACAGACAATAAAAGACAGAAATAAAACAAATAAAACAGTAAACAAATGTCACTGTGAAATCGATCGACTAAAACAGTTCAAACAAGTGCAAATCATTAAAGTGCTCTGTTCACACTGATAACAGCCTGTGGATAAAAACTGTTAGCGTAACGAGATGTCCTGCATCTCAGAGAGCGATATCTTCTGCCAGAGGGAAGAAGCTGGAACATGGCTTTCCCAGGGTGGCCAGAAGAGTCATTAACAATCCTAAGAGCTTTGTTTAAAAGTGTGGATTTATAAAGAACCTCCAGAACAGGAAGCTCACAGCCCACGGTCCTCTTTGCAGAGCGGAGCACCTTGTTTAAAGCTCTCTTTTCTTTATCTGTGATGTTTCCAAACCACACAGACACAGAACCAACAAGTAAACTCTCAATGGTGCAGCCATAAAAGTTAAGCACAATCTTAGAGTTAGTGGTAAATTCTCTAAGTTTATGCAGAAAGTAGAGACGCTGACGAGCTTTCTTAACGACTCGGTCAGTGTTTTTAACTCATTTCAGGTTAGACAGAGTTAAACCCAGAAACTTGCACTCCTCTACGATCTGCACCTGGGAGTTGTCGATTACGACAGGCAAATGAGAACTATTGCGACTGAAGTCGTAGACCAGTTCACATGTTTTGGATGCGTTCAACTGGAGGTTGTTAGTTTGACTCCACTGAACCACATTTTGTATCTCTGCTCTATAAGAGGATTCATCAGTGTCACTGATGAGACCGATGATGGTGGTGTCATCAGCATATTTGATGATCAAGTTTGAGTCAGAGGAGGACACACAATCGTGAGTGTACAAAGTAAAAAGCAAAGGACTCAAAATACATCCCTGAGGAGAACCAGTGCTCACAGAAACAACATCAGAAAAACAGTCATTGATTGATCTGTCAGTTAAAAAGATAAAAATCCATTTACACATGGCAACACTTAAACCCAGAGACATGAGCTTTTCAATCAGTTTACCTGGGACAAGGCAGTTAAAAGCAGAGCTATAATCGATGAAAAGCATTCTGGCCACAGATTTACTAGTGTCCAAGTGAGTGTAGACAGAGTTCAGAGCAAAGGAGATGCATCCTCCACACTCCTGTTCTGTCTGTAGCAAACTGGAGCGGGTCAACACTCCTGTTCTGTCTGTCTGACATTACAGAGGGAAGTATTAGCGATTGTGAAAAGTTTAAATAACTTACCAGAGACACCAACCTCCACACTAGCCCTCCTCTATGTCACGGTGGGTATAGTCTGCAGGGCTCATGGGCTAACAGCACAGCTTGTCCTCATAGCTGTTGTGTTGTCGTCCCCCTCGGTCCTGCCGGGAAATGCGTCACTAGGTCACTGTAGGAGACAGCTCCTGATTGGTCGACGCTGGCGTCTTCTCCCAAAAAGTTCAACAATGTTGAACTCGAGCGTCGGCCACTTTGGAGGCGCTGGACGCGCGTTGTACTGTTACACCCTTTTTTTGTTATGTACATTTTATAAATGGCTTTTTTTGGCGAGTTTGAATACTGCCCTCTAGTGGACAACTTGGGTATAAGTGTCGGTTTTTTCTGCACACTCATCATTCAACGGTCAGCTCACGTGCAGTTCAGCTCACTCAGACACCCGTTTTTCAGCCTTGGGGCATCTTTGTCCGTAAGTGATGTATGATGTGTGGTTCTTTATGTTCTTTTGTTGATAAAACATTTTTACAAATAAGAATGAGAAAATGAGAAGTTCTTTTTGTTGCTACTACTTTTCTAACTGCTAATTTTGTGTGTTAGCTCCATTTTGTTTTAAGCTAGGCTATACGCTCCAATCTAAAGTTCAGAAGTACAAAAATGTTTTTTTTCTGTGTTACACGAGTTACATGAGTACAAATGTAAGATGTAGTGTTTCATTTACTGACTGTGTAATAAGCTGTAATATTCATCCATTTCTTTTGGAAGCTCATTGTTTGGTACAATTTATTGATACTTGTTTCTATGTATTGTGTTACAGTTTTACAACTTTAAAGAGACAAGTGTGGAGCAAAAAGTAAAAGTTAACGTCTCTACATGGTCTACCGGACTCTTTTGTTGTTCGCTATCTGTCTAGCCCTGGTTATGTGACACCATAGTGAGGACAGAATAGTAAAAGGACATTTTCACAACGGGCTGAGACTTTCTACAAAGCATTATGAGCCAACACGACGAAATGAAGCAGCATATTAAGTCTGACCAGATACAAAAACTGTATGACACTAGATCCGAGGTCTCTGGCACAAGATTGAGCAGGTCCTCAGTCAGTGCTGCAGCCACCAAAGCCAAAGCTAGAGCTGAAGCAGCCTTAGTAGAAGCACAGTATGCAGCTAAAGAAGCAGAAATGATGATCGAAAAAGCTAAAATAGAAGCAGAAAAACAGAAGATGTTAGCTGAATTAGATGCTAATCTCTACGCCCTGAAGACACAGAGGAGCGCCACAGCCGCCTCAGCAGAAGCAGCAGTCTACGAGGCAGCCGCAGTGGAGGAGAAGGATCCTCTCTCCGACTTGGTCCAGATCTTGCCTCAGAACACCGCTCAACGCACCAGCGAGTACGTGCAGGCCCACTACAACGACCCACAGCAGAAAGCTTCGGTCCCGCAGCCGCCTGACACCACCTCCAACGCACGAGCACCCTCTCCACCGCCTCCAGCCTCTGTAGCACCAGATCCAGTTCAGTGGTACCCGCTTCCTATCGAGTCAAATCTCCATAATGTTTTGTTTAAAAATGAGGTAACAAATGACACTCACAACAGAGCCCAACCACATCCTCCTCATCCACAGTCTTACACATCCAGTCTCAGAGACTACAACCTTGGAGCAGCTCCAATGACAGATCTCACTAAATATCTAGTCAGGAGAGAAATGGTGAGCTCAGGCCTTTTAAAATTTGATGACTGTCCAGAAAACTACTGGGCTTGGAAAAACTCTTTCAAAGATGTTACAAGAGAGCTCAACTTAACAGCTAGAGAGGAGCTAGACTTACTGATAAAGTGGCTCGGCCCTGATTCATCCCCACAAGCACTGCGAATCAGGTCGGCTCACGTCCACAACGCTCCAGCAGGTGCTGACATGGTGTGGCAAAGATTAGATGACACATATGGCTCACCTGAGATCATTGAAAATGCTCTATTGTCAAAACTAGAGAACTTTCCTAAAATCTCCAACAAAGACAATCAATGTCTCAGAGAGTTAGGAGACATTTTAATGGAGATACAGTCTGCCAAATCAGGAGGAAGTCTACCTGGTCTAGCTTATTTGGATACAGCCAGAGGTGTTAACCCGATTGTAGAAAAGCTTCCTTATGGACTACAAGAACGCTGGATCACACATGGCTCTAGGTACAAGGAAGAGCATCGTGTTTCCTTTCCACCTTTCAGATACTTTATGAGTTTCATCTGCAGCCAAGGAAAAACACGTAATGATCCAAGTTTCTCATTCTCCTCATCCTGCGCCACAAGCCACATAAAGCAGGATAAAACACAAAGGCAATACAATAATAGCAAAACGGTGTCAGTAAGAAAGACTCAAGTAACAGCTATGACTACAACGCCTTACAACAGTAACAAAGACAAGAAAGCAGACGTGCCCATGCACGACAAGCCGCACCCCCTAGCAAAGTGTAGAGGGTTTAGGAGCAAACATTTGGATGAAAGAAAAGCTTATTTAAAAGAAAACTCCATTTGTTTTCGTTGTTGTGCCTCCACTAAACACTTAGCTAAGGACTGTAAGATTGCTGTTAAATGCAGAGAGTACAATAGTGACAGACACATTAGTGCTCTACATCCTGGTCCAGCTCCTTGCTCAACAGAGGCACAAGTGACAGAGCAAGAGCATGGCGGGGAGCGAGTCGATAGCGCATCCCCTAAGGTAACTTCCAAATGTACTGAGATTTGTGACAAAACACTTGGACTTAGATCTTGCTCAAAATTCTCTTTAGTGAATGTTTATCCAGCAGGCCGGCCAGACAAGGCACATAAAATGTATGTGGTTATAGACGACCAAAGCAATCGCTCTTTGGCTAAATATGACTTCTTCGAGTTATTTAACATCATTAGCTGCGTTTCCATTGAATAATTCGCAAAAACTTTTTTGATACATTTCAAAATTCGAAAAACCTGTAATTCGCAAAAGCGGCCGTTTCCATTAAGACATATTCGAATAAGTATACACTATTTTCGCGCGTTTATTCACTAGTTTCTAGTACGTCAACATGGCAACAGAAGTAAACAACACTTTGATTTACGTGAGATATATTAATGTCTTGACTTCTGCTGCGGCTCTCATCCTCTCTGACCTCTGACCCCGGGAGAAACTGTGGCTGCTTTGACAGCTCCGCGAACGCGCGTGGTCATGTACCGAGCGCGGACCATAGACGCGCGCACAGAACCATAGACACGGGTCTTGCCTGTCTCCCCCGTCTCTCCCCCATGCCTCTCCCCCGTATCTTCCCCGTCTCTCCCCCGTCTCTCCCCCATGCCTCTCCCCCGTATCTTCCCCGTCTCTCCCCCGTCTCTCCCCCATGCCTCTCCCCCGTATCTTCCCCGTCTCTCCCCCGTCTCTCCCCCATGCCTCTCCCCCGTATCTTCCCCGTCTCTCCCCCATGCCTCTCCCCCGTCTCTCCCCCGTCTCTCCCCCATGCCTCTCCCACGTATCTCCCAAGTCTCTCCCCCATGCCTCTCCCCCGTCTCTCCCCCATGCCTCTCCCCCATGCCTCTCCCACGTATCTCCCAAGTCTCCACACGAAGCGCAGCCAAAAGTCACTGAATAAAGCAGCTCGGCTTCCTCCGCTATATCGAAATAAGTGTTTCCGTTGCCGTTTTGCGAAAAACTTAATTTCGATACGTCCAAAAAACCACCTATTTTAAGCGCATAAACTTTTTATTGAAAAACTGTGGTTTATTCGAAATTTGCGCGTTTCCATTAGACATTTTATGATGCTCAAATTCAAATTTCGAAATTTGATACTCAATGGAAACGCAGCTAGTGTAGCGCCCTCCAGTTACACTTTAAAAACATGTTCAGGCATCAGTGAAACTACAGGTAGAAAAGCACACAACTTTGTTGTTGCTTCATTGGATGGACAGACTCAGGTCACACTTCCGCCTCTTTTAGAATGTAACTCAATGCCAGATGACCGTAGTGAAATCCCTACTCCTGACATTGTACAGCATTTCCCTCACCTCGCACCAATAGCAGGTAAAATACCACCATTAGAGCCAGATACGCCCATCCTTCTCTTAATTGGCCGAGACGTTCTTAGCTTACATAAAGTGCGTGAGCAGTACAATGGCCCGCACAACACACCATACGCTCAACGGCTAGATTTGGGTTGGGTTATTGTAGGTGAGATTTGTTTAGGGAGAGCACACAAACAGACTAAAGTCAACATTTACAAAACTAATGTACTACAAAACGGACGCACTTCATTCCTTGAGCCATGCACTAGTGCTATTCATGTAAAAGAGACTTTCACTCTCCCCAAACGTTGCCTTCAGTGAGATAGAGGTAACCTCACTTAAACACACAGACTGTCTTGGGCACAATGTGTTTCAGAGAACCCCTGATGATGACAAAACAGCCATGTCAGTTGAAGACAAAATGTTCATTGAAATTATGAACAAGGAAGTGTTTATGGACAATGATAACCATTGGGTGGCGCCATTACCCTTTCGCAATCCACGCCCTCACCTTCCAAATAACAGAACAGGCTCTGAAGCGCCTCACAGTTTTGAAACGGACATTAGACAAAAAGAAAGATATGAAAGAACAGTTCATTGAATTCATGGACAAAGTTTTTGCTAATGACCAGGCAGAAATTGCCCCTCCGTTAGAACCAGGTGAAGAGTGTTGGTACTTACCAATATTTGGGGTGTACCACCCCCAGAAACCGGGCAAAATCCGGGCTGTATTTGATTCAAGCGCACAGTTTCAAGGCATCTCACTTAACGACATACTGCTTAGAGGCCCTGATTTAAACAATTCACTGCTTGGTGTTCTGCTTCGCTTTAGAAGAGAGCAGGTAGCAGTTACTGTCGATGTGGAGCAGATGTTTTACTGTTTCCGAGTCAAAGAAAGCCACAGAAACTATCTCAGATTCTTATGGTTCAGAGACAATGACCTGAGCAAAGAAATAAAAGAGTTTCGCATGAAGGTCCCAGTTTTTGGGAACAGTCCGTCCCCAGCTATTGCAATCTATGGACTGAGACAAGCAGCCGAGTTAGGGGAAGAAGAACATGGCTCGAACGCAAAACAGTTTGTCTTCCGCAATTTCTATGTGGACGACGGTATTACTTCTGTGCCCAGTGAGAACGAAGCCATTGAACTTTTAACAAAAGCAAGAAACATGCTGTCTGAATCAAACATACGACTTCACAAAATTGCTTCAAACGTCAGTGCAGTAATGAATGCATTCCCACCGGAGGAGCGAGCAACCGACCTCAAAGATTTAGATTTGGATGTTGACCCCTTGCCTTTACAGAGAAGTCTTGGGGTGGGTTGGAACTTGGAAGATGACTCTTTCACATTCAGAGTAGGTAAAGACACTAAGTCCTTTACACGCAGAGGCATACTTTCTGTTGTAAATAGCCTCTACGACCCCCTAGGGTTTGCTGCCCCAGTGACAATTCATGGAAAAGCACTGTACAGAAAGCTAACTCAAGAACAACAGGACTGGGATGAACCTTTACCACCACATAGAGAGGCAGAGTGGACAAAATGGACTGACTCACTTGCTGTTCTTGAAAATCTTCAAATCAGCAGGCCTTTTGTACCCGTTTCACTATCAGTCACTCAAACAAGAGAACTATGCATCTTCTCAGATGCTTCTACAATGGCAATAGCAGCTGCAGCTTATCTCAAGGTCATTGATACAGATGGTCAATGCCATGTTGGGTTTATGATAGGAAAATCTAAACTGGCGCCATCCTCTGCTCACACTGTCCCTCGCCTTGAACTGTGCGCGGCTGTTTTAGCCGTTGAACTTGCTCAGACAATCATTGAGGAAAGTGACATTGAGTTTCAAACAGTCAACTTTTATACTGATAGTAAAATAGTCCTTGGGTACATTCACAACAGCACTCGCCGTTTCTATGTCTACGTAGCCAACAGAGTCACCCAGATCCGCAAGTTGAACAAACCAGAGCAGTGGCACCATGTAGCCACAGACAAAAACCCAGCAGACCATGGCACCAGGATTGTTTTAGCATCTCAACTGCAACACATAACCTGGCTCTCCGGTCCACAGTTCTTAACAGTCAATGCTCAACACAACAACAAAGCTGAAAACTTTGACCTTGTTGATCCATCAGCAGATTCTGAAGTTCGTCCTCAAGTGACCACGTTGGCAACAAACATAAATGAAAACAAGCTTGGTTCTCAAAGATTTGAACGTTTCTCAACTTGAAAGTCTTTGGTTAGAGGAATTCAAGCACTCATTTGTGTCATGAAAGCACACAAATATGACAAACAAAATGACACAGAACTTTCACAAGCAAAAACCATCATAATCAAATGCGTCCAACACGAGATCTTTAGAGAAGAAATCAAAAGACTCTCTGAAGGAAAAGAAATGCCAACACGAAGTCCTCTGGAAAAGCTTGACCCCTTCCTTGACAGTGAAGGTTTGTTACGAGTTGGGGGACGCTTGCAAGCAGCAGATGTTTCTGAGCTAGAGAAACACCCTCTGATAATCCCAGGTTCTCATCATATCGCAATCCTTCTAGTCAGACACTACCATGATCAAGTAGCACATCAGGGGCGTCAGTTTACTTAAGGCGCTTTGCGCACTGCAGGACTTTGGATTGTAGGAGCTAAGAAATTAGTTTCTAGCATAATTCACAAGTGTGTCACTTGTAGGAAACTAAAGGGTCATTTGGAGGAACAGAAAATGGCTTCCTTACCCGTTGATAGACTTACTGTAGATCCGCCATTTACTTACATAGGTCTAGATGTTTTTGGACCTTGGAATGTAACATCCCGCCGCACAAGGTCAAATAGTGCAGAAAGTAAAAGGTGGGCTGTGATGTTTTCATGTCTTAGTACTAGGGCAGTACACATAGAAGTTGTCGAGTCAATGTCAACTTCTAGCTTCATTAACGCTCTGCGCCGATTCCTGTCAATCAGAGGTCCAGTCAAACACCTTAGATCAGATCAAGGTACAAACTTTATCGGTGCTTGTAACGAGTTAGGGATCAAATCTAAGGATCCAGAAATCAAGAACTTCTTACAAGACCAGAGCTGCACATGGCCTTTCAATGCACCACATTCTTCTCACATGGGAGGTGTGTGGGAAAGGATGATTGGTCTTGTCCGAAACATTCTTGATGGTTTACTCTTAAAGAACTCAAACACTCGCCTCACACACGAGGTGTTGGTCACTCTAATGGCTGAGGTCATGGCCATAATGAACGCCAGACCTTTAGTCCCTGTAAGTACGGACCCTGAAACTCCAGAGATCTTCTCACCAGCAATGCTTCTCACTCAAAAGGCTTCTCCTGTCTTGTCGCCGCCTGGGAACTTTGAACTCAAAGATCTTTATAAAGCCCAGTGGCATCAAGTCCAGGGCCTTGCAGACTGTTTCTGGAAAAGGTGGAGGCAAGAGTACCTCCCCACATTGCAAACAAGACGTAAATGGAACAAAGACAAACCAAACGTAAAAGAAGGAGACATTGTTTTATTAAAAGACACTCAAGTCAAACGTAATGAATGGCCTGTTGGTATTGTGGTTAACGCCATTTCTAGTGGTGACAAAAAGGTCAGGAAACTTGAAGTTAAGATTGTGAAACATGGTTCTGTTAAAACATATCTGAGACCTGTCAACGATGTACAGTAGGTCCCATTTCGTTTTGTCGCCTTTCACGCATGAATCACACGAGACTCACGTGTGATTCACGCGTCTTTTATTTGTTTTTTTCCCAGTGATGCTGCAATGACCCAGTACTATAACCCTGTAATAGTACTTTTGTCCCAAAACATTGGTAACAATTAAATAGTGGTACATTCTTTAATATACCAGGCGGGGAGTGTACTGTTACACCCTTTTTTTGTTATGTACATTTTATAAATGGCTTTTTTTGGCGAGTTTGAATACTGCCCTCTAGTGGACAACTTGGGTATAAGTGTCGGTTTTTTCTGCACACTCATCATTCAACGGTCAGCTCACGTGCAGTTCAGCTCACTCAGACACCCGTTTTTCAGCCTTGGGGCATCTTTGTCCGTAAGTGATGTATGATGTGTGGTTCTTTATGTTCTTTTGTTGATAAAAATTTGTACAAATAAGAATGAGAAAATGAGAAGTTCTTTTTGTTGCTACTACTTTTCTAACTGCTAATTTTGTGTGTTAGCTCCATTTTGTTTTAAGCTAGGCTATACGCTCCAATCTAAAGTTCAGAAGTACAAAAATGTATTTTTTCTGTGTTACACGAGTTACATGAGTACAAATGTAAGATGTAGTGTTTCATTTACTGACTGTGTAATAAGCTGTAATATTCATCCATTTCTTTTGGAAGCTCATTGTTTGGTACAATTTATTGATACTTGTTTCTATGTATTGTGTTACAGTTTTACAACTTTAAAGAGACAAGTGTGGAGCAAAAAGTAAAAGTTAACGTCTCTACATGGTCTACCGGACTCTCTTTTGTTGTTCGCCATCTGTCTGGGGTCGGCCCGATGTTCCCCGGGTCCAATGTTCCCCCGCCTATAGAAGTGGGGGAACATTGGACCCGGGGAACATCGGTACGCACCCATCTGTCTAGCCCTGGTTATGTGACACCATAGTGAGGACAGAATACGCGTCAAAACGCTCGAAATCTCAAAACGCGCCGCGCCAGAAGCGCGAAGCGCTCGAAGACGCTCTGCTCTGGAGGCGCTTGACGTGCAGCGGGATCTCTTGACGCTCCTAGAAGCGCGTTCCCCATGTTATTTCAATGTAAACCCGACGCTTTTGGTGTGAACGCACCTTTAGTCTTTAATTCGTCGACCATTAATGTATCCATGAGCCCCGCGGAAAAATGCCTTCTCCCCTGCTTGACGTGCTCGGCTGATGCGGGGCCACAGCGCTGCTCTCGCTTCTCTGTCCTCCTTAGTGAGAAGCCAATGCCCGCATTTTTGCACACTGCAGTCTCTTTGGTCATCTTCCAGAAACCATCTCTGTGGTGACGCCTTGTAAATTGAATAATGATGTATCTCACCCTACTGTCTGTCTTCGGACCAATTCGGTGAACTGTATCCACGATATAATCCATGTCTTGTGCCCACTGAGGGGCGATTTGTTTGAGGAGAGTAATGACCACGGCCCTGGTGTCTTCATTCATAGTCTCTCTCATGCCTTTAATCCTGAGATTCCATTGTCTTTTATAGCGGTCGTGTTCTCTGCACTTCTCTTGCAGGTCAACATTTTCAGCACGCATACGCCCCAACTCTTCTTCCACGCCAGAGACACGAACTTTACAGTCTTTAATCTCAGATGCATTGAATTCCACCGCTTTTGAGAGGCTAGCTAGCATTGCACCGTTCTGGGTTAGCTTACTGTCGATCTCCTCCATTTTCCTTTCCTTTTTCTCAAACTTAATAGTTAGCATATTGATGGCAGCAAGAATGGCATTACTCGACCCATCTCCTTCAGTCGTTTTTGATTGTTTGTGAACATGTGCTCCTTTCGAGGGAGTAGTGGGCAGCCTCTTTTTTCACCACCACGTTCTTCATCCATTTCTGATTCAGCCGACAGATAATCATGGCCGTTTGCTCCAGAGAAACAGTGGTTTGTTTGGACATCTTTCTTGCGCTGTGTTGACGTACACTTACTAAGGAAAGTCCAGGTTGAGTTCAAGTGGGATTAGACATCAAACATTCTGGAGGGATTTCACTGGAGCCCACGTGAGAGTGATCCGCCCAGGTCACTATCTTGTCTGGGAGTGGGGGACTTTTATTTAATATTGTCATTCCCGTATTCGTCCCGGAAACCGGATTCGTCCGGAAGTTCAGTTTGATCCAACTGATTACGTCACGGAATCCGGACGGAAGCGGAAGTAAATAACAAACTACCTGTTCATGCCTAAACTTAACCAGCCATTCCCATAAAATAACCCCATCCCAGCCTTAACCCTAACCTTAACCATCTTACTCAGACCACCTTAACCCTAACCTTAACCATCTTACTCAGACCACCTTAACCCTAACCTTAACCATCTTACTCAGACCACCTTAACCCTAACCTTAACCATCTTACTCAGACCACCTTAACCCTAACCTTAACCATCTTACTCAGACCACCTTAACCCTAACCTTAACCATCTTACTCAGACCACCTTAACCCTAACCTTAACCATCTTACTCAGACCCACCTTAACCCTAACCTTAACCATCTTACTCAGACCACCTTAACCCTAACCTTAACCATCTTACTCAGACCACCTTAACCCTAACCTTAACCATCTTACTCAGACCACCTTAACCCTAACCTTAACCATCTTACTCAGACCACCTTAACCCTAACCTTAACCATCTTACTCAGACGCCTAAAACTTAACCAGTCACCATTTAAGGACTTTTTACACTTTTTGACACGCACAAACTGAACTTCCGGACAAATCCGGGAGTGACAAATATATTAGCAGCAGCTGGACTGAGTCCAGGAAGAATATTTTTTACAGCGATCTCTTAACTTTAGGGCGTAGTCTTCTCGTGATGTCAATGTCTCCGTCAGCTGTGGTCGCCGTAGCAACAGAACCACCTCCAGATGTTGATGCTCTTCAGGACCTAGAGGATTTACCTAAAGAACATGTTTTTAATGATGGGGAAACCGGAGGAAACCTAAGCAGACACAGGGAGAACATGCAAACTCCACTCAGAAAGGCTCGAAGATTTGAACCCAGGACCTTCTTGCTGAGAAGCGAGAGAGCTAACCACTCAGCCACTGATTTAAAAACATTTTACTTTTAGACTCTGTTTGGACAAAGAACATGTTTTTAATGTTTCTGAACAAAATGTAGTTTGTCTTTTCCTGATTGTAGCAAAAGTAAACTGTGATTGAAGACATTAGAGAGAGACTGAAGTGAACTGGCGCCATCTGCAGGTGAACCACGTACACTGCGCTCAGGCATTTATTGTAAAAAGCATATTTAAAAAAGTAAATCAAAACTGAATGATACAAAACATTTGAAACTAAAGAGTTTAACACAGACTAACACATGATTTCAACATGAATAAATCTGATCTGTACAGATAAGGCACGTGTGGCAGCCACAAATATACAAAACTCAACATAACATTAAAGTAGATCATTGTTATTATGTATTTACAGCGTGTGGCGGGAACTGAAACTACCACATGAAGACCAAGTCACATGGTCACAACACGGCTGATGGTGTGTCACAACACGGCTGATGGTGTGTCAGAACACGGCTGATGGTGTGTCAGAACACGGATGATGGTGTGTCAGAACACGGATGATGGTGTGTCAGAACACGGCTGATGGTGTGTCAGAACACGGATGATGGTGTGTCAGAACACGGCTGATGGTGTGTCAGAACACGATGATGGTGTGTCAGAACACGGCTGATGGTGTGTCAGAACACGGCTGATGGTGTGTCAGAACACGGCTGATGGTGTGTCAGAACACGGATGATGGTGTGTCAGAACACGGCTGATGGTGTGTCAGAACACGGCTGATGGTGTGTCAGAACACGGCTGATGGTGTGTCAGAACACGGATGATGGAAGCAAAGACCATGTGACCAGTTCTTCGCAGCTAAAGCAGAAGGACAAGTCTCTATAATGTAGCTAACTCTAAAACATGTTTAAAATCCTCTGATGCTGCAGTACCGCGGCCGGACACAGGGGGCTCTACACCACCAGACTTTCTCGACTCACGGCTCCGTTCTGTAGGAAACAGGGCGTTACACTTTATTCGTCTGAAACAAAGACGTGAAGCAGAAAAAAACCGACCTTTCGGAGGTTGCTCTTCTTTGCAGATGACATGCTCTCGTTGTCACTGTAGGGGGGAGGCAGAGGAGGGGGGTAGTCGTCATGGCGCCCTGGATACCCGGAGGGGGGGTTGGAGGGTAGAGGAGGAGGCCTCTCCGTGTCCAGGCGGTCACGGCTGTGCGTCCTCTGCTGCTCGCTCATCTTCTTGCGCTCCATCGCCTCCCGCAGGAGGCCGTCGTCGTAGTCCAGCCCCCCTCGGCCTCCGTCGCCATAGCGACGCTCTCTCTCCAGGTCCATCAGATCGTCGCGACTGCGGCTGCGTCGTCCCGCCAACCCGCTGTTTGCGTCACTGTGGCGGTCGTCAGGAGAGTAGTCCCGCCTCCTGCGGTCGTCATAGACACGGTCGTATCCACGGTCGTTTCCACTGCGAGCGCTGCTGCTCCATCCATCGTCAGAACTGAAGCCAAGAGAAACATGTGATAAACATGTGACACACGTGTTCACGGCACTGACGCCGTGACCCCAATAAAACAGTTACCCTCTGCGGCCCCGCGGCTCCTCGGGGCGGCGCCGGTACTCGCCGCGGTCGTCGCGATCATAGCGGCGGCCAATGTCATCCAAGTTGTCCATGGAGCGAGCGCGGCCGCAGGAGTCAGCCCCGCGCCGATCATCAGGGCGACGGTCGTCAGGGCGACGGTCGTCAAGGCGACGGTCGTCAGGGCGACGGTCGTCAGGGCGACGGTCGTCAGGGCGACGGTCGTCAGGGCGACGGTGCACATGCTGAGACACGCTGCTGATGGTGCTCATGGCCTCGTCCTGATCATACTGAGCAGGCGCACGACCTCTGTCATGAAGAGAACTCACCTCACTCATGGTGTCCACTGTAACACACACACACACACACACACACACACACACACACACACACACACACACACACACACACACACACAGTGAGTCCAGTCATTACAACAGGAAGCTCAGAGAAATTTGTTTTTAAGTTCATTTACTCTAAATTATGAACGAAAACACAGACTTCTCTGACTGTTTATTAAACGTTGTTAAGTGTGTGTCTGTTGTGTGTGTGTGTCTGTTGTGTGTCTCTCACTGCGGCTGTGTGTGTCTGTTGCGTGTGTCTCACTGCGGTTGTAGTTTCCCGGTCGGGTTGGGTCGAGGTTGGCCAGTTCTCTCTCCATGTAGTAAATGGCTCTGGTGGCGTTTCCGTCCGGATCCACCTGAATCCGATACCCGCTGCGAGCTGCGGACAGACGTCAGTCACTTCCACAGAAGAAGAATCGTATCATTGAGGACAGACGTCAGTCACTTCCACAGAAGAAGAATCGTATCATTGAGGACAGACGTCAGTCACTTCCACAGAAGAAGAATCGTATCATTGAGGACAGACGTCAGTCACTTCCACAGAAGAAGAAACTTTGTGGACTCTGTTTATTCACAATAGATCAATAACATGTTTCCATATATTTATTTACACATGAGATTCCTTTATTGTATTGTTATTGTCTAACCCAGGTATGGGAAGTGTGCACTCCTCCCCTCGCTCTAACATTCTTGTGTGCAGGGTTGGATTGGCCGAGTGTCTGCGCTGGGACTTTAAGAGGGGCGTCCCAGGCAGCACTCTCTCTCTCTCAGACGGCAGACACCTGGACCTGTCCATTGGTCTGGGCCTGCACTCCACTCTACACTTTTACCCATAAGGTTATCACACATAAGGTTATCACACATAAGGTTATCACACATAAGGTTATCACACATAAGGTTATCACACATAAGGTTATCACACATAAGGTTATCACACATAAGGTTATCACACATAAGGTTATCACACATAAGGTTATCACACATAAGGTTATCACACATAAGGTTATCACACATGAGGTTATCACACATAAGGTTATCACACATAAGGTTATCACACATAAGGTTATCACACATAAGGTTATCACACATAAGGTTATCACACATAAGGTTATCACACATAAGGTTATCACACATAAGGTTATCACACATAAGGTTATCACACATAAGGTTATCACACATAAGGTTATCACACATGAGGTTATCACACATAAGGTTATCACACATAAGGTTATCACACATAAGGTTATCACACATAAGGTTATCACACATAAGGTTATCACACATAAGGTTATGACACATAAGGTTATCACACATAAGGTTATCACACATAAGGTTATCACACATGAGGTTATCACACATAAGGTTATCACACATAAGGTTATCACACATGAGGTTATCACACATAAGGTTATCACACATGAGGTTATCACACATAAGGTTATGACACATAAGGTTATCACACATAAGGTTATCACACATAAGGTTATCACACATAAGGTTATCACACATAAGGTTATCACACATAAGGTTATCACACATGAGGTTATCACACATAAGGTTATCACACATAAGGTTATCACACATAAGGTTATCACACATAAGGTTATCACACATAAGGTTATCACACATAAGGTTATCACACATAAGGTTATCACACATGAGGTTATCACACATAAGGTTATCACACATAAGGTTATCACACATAAGGTTATCACACATAAGGTTATCACACATAAGGTTATCACACATAAGGTTATCACACATAAGGTTACACACATAGGTTATCACACATAAGGTTATCACACATAAGGTTATCACACATAAGGTTATCACACATAAGGTTATCACACATAAGGTTATCACACATAAGGTTATCACACATAAGGTTATCACACATAAGGTTATCACACTGATACTCATTCACACACACCACATCCCAGACCATTTACACTGAATCCATATTATAGTTAGAATAAAACGGCCAGTGAGCCTTAACCCCTCCTTTATTAGTGCATTTCTGCATTTCCTGGGGGGTCCCTCTGATCCTCAGGGAGGGGGGTCCACAGTCCCTCTGATCCTCAGGGAGGGGGGTCCACAGTCCCTCTGATCCTCAGGGAGGGGGGTCCACAGTCCCTCTGATCCTCAGGGAGGGGGGTCCACAGTCCCTCTGATCCTCAGGGAGGGGAGTCCACAGTCCCTCTGATCCTCAGGGAGGGGAGTCCACAGTCCCTCTGATCCTCAGGGAGGGGAGTCCACAGTCCCTTTGATCCTCAGGGAGGGGGGTCCACAGTCCCTCTGATCCTCAGGGAGGGGAGTCCACAGTCCCTTTGATCCTCAGGGAGGGGGGTCCACAGTCCCTCTGATCCTCAGGGAGGGGTGTCCACAGTCCCTCTGATCCTCAGGGAGGGGAGTCCACAGTCCCTTTGATCCTCAGGGAGGGGAGTCCACAGTCCCTCTGATCCTCAGGGAGGGGGGTCCACAGTCCCTCTGATCCTCAGGGAGGGGGGTCCACAGTCCCTCTGATCCTCAGGGAGGGGGGTCCACAGTCCCTCTGATCCTCAGGGAGGGGGGTCCACAGTCCCTCTGATCCTCAGGGAGGGGTGTCCACAGTCCCTCTGATCCTCAGGGAGGGGAGTCCACAGTCCCTTTGATCCTCAGGGAGGGGGGTCCACAGTCCCTTTGATCCTCAGGGAGGGGGGTCCACAGTCCCTCTGATCCTCAGGGAGGGGGGTCCACAGTCCCTCTGATCCTCAGGGAGGGGGGTCCACAGTCCCTCTGATCCTCAGGGAGGGGTGTCCACAGTCCCTCTGATCCTCAGGGAGGGGGTCCACAGTCCCTCTGATCCTCAGGGAGGGGGGTCCACAGTCCCTCTGATCCTCAGGGAGGGGGGTCCACAGTCCCTCTGATCCTCAGGGAGGGGGGTCCACAGTCCCTCTGATCCTCAGGGAGGGGGGTCCACAGTCCCTCTGATCCTCAGGGAGGGGAGTCCACAGTCCCTCTGATCCTCAGGGAGGGGGGTCCACAGTCCCTCTGATCCTCAGGGAGGGGAGTCCACAGTCCCTCTGATCCTCAGGGAGGGGAGTCCACAGTCCCTTTGATCCTCAGGGAGGGGGGTCCACAGTCCCTCTGATCCTCAGGGAGGGGTGTCCACAGTCCCTCTGATCCTCAGGGAGGGGAGTCCACAGTCCCTTTGATCCTCAGGGAGGGGAGTCCACAGTCCCTCTGATCCTCAGGGAGGGGGGTCCACAGTCCCTTTGATCCTCAGGGAGGGGGGTCCACAGTCCCTCTGATCCTCAGGGAGGGGGGTCCACAGTCCCTCTGATCCTCAGGGAGGGGGGTCCACAGTCCCTCTGATCCTCAGAGAGGGGTGTCCACAGTCCCTCTGATCCTCAGGGAGGGGGTCCACAGTCCCTTGATCCTCAGGGAGGGGGGTCCACAGTCCCTTTGATCCTCAGGGAGGGGGGTCCCAGTCCCTCTGATCCTCAGGGAGGGGGGTCCACAGTCCCTCTGATCCTCAGGGAGGGGGGTCCACAGTCCCTCTGATCCTCAGGGAGGGGGTCCACAGTCCCTCTGATCCTCAGGGAGGGGGGTCCACAGTCCCTCTGATCCTCAGGGAGGGGTGTCCACAGTCCCTCTGATCCTCAGGGAGGGGGGTCCACAGTCCCTCTGATCCTCAGGGAGGGGGGTCCACAGTCCCTCTGATCCTCAGGGAGGGGGTCCACAGTCCCTCTGATCCTCAGGGAGGGGGGTCCACAGGAGGGCGGTCCACAGGAGGGGGGTCCACAGGAGGGGGGTCCACAGGAGGTGGTCTGTGCCATGCCAGGTGACGTCACGGTTGTCATAGTGGTTTTGGACTGTCCTTCGTCGGACTCGTCACCTGAGACCTGTGTGTCCAAACTTTTGCTCGGTATTGTAGCTCCCGGGATCATCCGGGGTTAGGGTTAGGGTCACCCCATCATGTTAAGGTGGTTAGGGTTAGGGTCACCCCATCACGTTAAGGTGGTTAGGGTTAGGGTCACCCCATCACGTTAAGGTCCAGGGGGGGACTATGATACTAATGCATTTTATTTATATAGCACCTTACAACAAGATTTTCTGATTTTAAAAATAAATCATCACCTTAAAATATGACGTGTTAAAATATTTGACTAAACTTACAGTCTCTGGTGCTAGCTGACCCTCATGCTAACAGACCCTCATGCTAACAGACCCTCATGCTAACAGACCCTGACCCCAGCCCTCCTGCTGCAGTGCTAATCCCCCAGCCCCAGGACAACAGTCATTAAGGTGATTAAGGTGATTATGTTGAGGTAAAGTTGAGGTAAAGTCAGAGTGAGTCAGAGTCAGACTGACAGGACTCAGGCGGTGAAAGGAAAAGCTTCTTGTTTTGGAAACATCAGTCCTCCTGAGTCACCGTCGGCTCTCACATTTGGCACTTTTTGGAAAGTGATTGAATCTTCAGTGTGTTTCAAAGTTTAAATGTTTGGCTGAAAGTTTTAAATGAATGATTCTAACAGTTTAAAGTGTGTCCAACACGCTCTGACCATGTTTTATCTGCACACACTGACATCACACTGAAGTATATATATATATATATATATATATATATATATATATATATATACATACATACATACAGTATATCACACTGAAGTGTCTGACCTACGTACGGGCTGCTGCTGCAGCTGCACTGTCGCCCTCTGGTGGTGTGTGTGTGTATTGCACTCTCACCTGAGCTGTTTTCTCTCCTGACAGGGGCCTATGGGACCCCGCGGGCCCCCAGGACCCTCTGGAAAACCCGGCGATGATGTAAGTGCTGAGGATTGTTCACATTATTGTAGAACGATATTCTGTAGATAACTGCTGTGAGACCCTGATGCCCTCCCATCAGGGTCTCACAGCAGGAGATAACCCATGCATACGCATACACACATGTGTACACACACATGTGTACACACACATACATGTACACATACATACATGTACACACACATACATGTACACACACATACATGTACACATACATACATGTACACACACATACATGTACACACACATACATGTACACATACATACATGTACACATACATACATGTACACACACATACATGTACACATACATACATGTACACATACATACATGTACACACACATACATGTACACATACATACATGTACACACACATACATGTACACACACATACATGTACACATACATACATGTACACATACATACATGTACACATACATACATGTACACATACATACATGTAAACACACATACATGTACACATACATACATGTACACATACATACATGTACACGCCCATACATGTACACATACACACATGTGTACACACACATACATGTACACACACATACATGTACACACATACATGTAGACACACATACATGTACTGTACACACCCATACATACAGATACATGTACACAAACACACATCCACACACATATATTCAGACACACATACATGTACACACACATGCATGTACACACACTCACATACATACATGTTCACACACATACATGTTCACACACATACATGTAGACACACATACATGTAGACACACTCACATACATACATGTACACACACACACACACATACATGTACACATACTCACATACATACATGTACACACACATACATGTACACATACTCACATACATACATGTACACACACATGCATGTACACACACTCACATACATACATGTTCACACACATACATGTTCACACACATACATGTAGACACACATACATGTAGACACACTCACATACATACATGTACACACACAAACATGTACACATACTCACATACATACATGTTCACACACATACATGTACACATACTCACATACATACATGTACACACACACACACACACACACATAAACATCCTCAAACGTCTGACATGAATCTGGATTCTGATCATGAAATGAAACGAAGGTTCTTCAAGTGTGATTGCAATAGATCACCATAAGGTGGCAGCAAAAACTACAATTCACATTTACACTGAAGAGTGGAAATTAATGTATCTGTGTGTGGTTGTATGTGTGTGTGTGTGTCTGTGTGTGTGTGTTTCTGTGTGTGTGTGTGTGTGTGTGTGCGGGTGTGTGTGTCTGTGTGTATGTGTTTCTGTGTGTGTGCGTGTGCGTGTGTGTGTCTGTGTGTTTGTGTGTGTTTCTGTGTGTGTTTCTGTGTGTGTGTGTGTACGTGTGCGTGCATGTATGATTATGTGTGTGTGTGCGTGCATGTGTGTGTATGTGTGTGTGTGCGTGTGTGTGTGTGTCTGTGTGTGTGTGTGCATGTGCGTGTGTTTCTGTGCGTGTGTGTGTGTGTGTGTTTCTGTGTGTGTGTGTGTCTGTGTGTTTCTGTGCGTGTGTGTTTCTGTGCGTGTGTGTTTCTGTGTGTGCGTGTGTGTGTCTGTGTGTTTCTGTGCGTGTGTGTTTCTGTGCGTGTGTGTGTGTGCGTGTGTTTCAGGGTGAAGCAGGGAAGCCTGGTAAACCCGGGGACCGAGGCCCCAGTGGACCTCAGGTGAGGACATAGTGTGTAGTAAAAAGGGGATTTGTTTCTAACGTGTGTAACTGTTGTTTGACAGGGATCTCGAGGGTTCCCAGGGACCCCCGGTGTGCCCGGCATCAAAGGACACAGAGTGAGGACCGCCGGCTTTTGGTTCTTTTAAAGATTCTGGTTGTTTTAACTCTTCAACTTCAACATGTTTCAGGGTTATACAGGTCTGGAGGGACCCAAAGGAGACGCTGGAGCTCTGGGATCAAAGGTACAAGCACAGCAGCTGTTATTGATAATAATACTAATAATAATAATAATAACAATAATAATAATAATAATAATAATGATAATGATAATGATAATGATAATGATAATAATGATGATGATGATGATGATGATAATAATAATAATAATCATAATAATAATGCTGTTGTGTTGCAGGGGGAGTCGGGGGCCCCCGGGGAGAGTGGTGCTCCAGGACCAATGGTGAGAGTCAGACACAGATGTGAATGAAATGTTAGATTCTAAAGGATGTGTCTGTGACAGGGCCCTCGAGGACTGGCCGGAGAGAGAGGCCGCTCTGGACCCAGTGGTGCCGCTGTGAGTCTATACAGTCCACACGTGATGATGTCACACACAGCACTGTGATGATGTCACACACAGCACCGTGATGATGTCACACACAGCACCGTGATGATGTCACACACAGCACCGTGATGATGTCACACACAGCACCGTGATGATGTCACACACAGACAGAGGACAACATGAGGCTCTGCTCTCACACTGTTACACAGATACAAACACAAACAAACAAAACAAATACATATGTTATTCTAAAAGTATCAATAACATTAATAACAACAGTCACAGCAGCATTTCTCTGCTCTGGTCTGGACCAGAAGAAGAAGAAAGAGGAGGCTTTAGCAGATGCTTATGTCGAGCAGAAGAAAATAGTGTCTAAACAGAAAGACAGAATGTTAATAATGTTAATGCCATTTTATGTGGATTTATTGTTCTTATAAACAAATACAGTACATATGTACACTATGCTGTCATTTTTCTCCATTCAAACAACCATTTACAGAAAAATATGGCATCATTTTGCCGATAGTTCGAAATGCGATTAATTAATTTTTTAGCTGTAACTAACTTGATTAAAAATTTTAATCGTTTGACAGCCCTAATTATTATATTTGATTCATACTTTCTCAGTCCGAGTATATTCTGGAGTTTTGTTGTATTAAAAATTGCAGGTTTTACATATTTCACAGAAAAGTCAGTGCTGTTTAATCTCTTTGATCTGTCGATTATCAATCCTTAATCTTTTTAATCTGTAGATTCTAATCTCATGTTGTGTTGTGCAGGGGGCTCGTGGGAACGACGGTCTGGCAGGTCCATCTGGACCCCCGGTGAGTCTAGGCTTTACATGTCTCAGTCTGCCACGTATAGAAGCTAACAGCTAAAAGCTAACAGCTAACAGCTAAAAGCTAACAGCTAACAGCTAAAAGCTAACAGCTAAAAGCTAACTGCTAACAGCTAACATGTGCAGATACCAGTGTGTAATGTACTGTCCAGTTTAAACTCGGTCCTCTTCTCCGCAGGGTCCTGTAGGTCCTTCAGGAGCTCCGGGGTTCCCTGGATCTCCAGGGTCAAAGGTCAATCACATTTTATGATTTTAACTTTTCAAAGTCATTGATTAAAAACATCAAATTATGAATAAAATACTGTCAGTGAAACTGTTAACAATAATGACCCCGTTATTTTAAATATTTTGAAAAGATTGGTTAGGATTCGGTAACTCTGACTGCAGCTAATGTTTATGTTTATGTCGCCCCCTGTGGGTCTGGAGCTGCTGCTGTTCTAAGGTCTATGTTCTTCAGAGTTCTAAGGTCTATGTTCTTCAGAGTTCTAAGGTCTATGTTCTTCAGAGTTCTAAGGTCTAAGTTCTTCAGAGTTCTAAGGTCTATGTTCTTCAGAGTTCTAAGGACTATGTTCTTCAGAGTTCTAAGGTCTATGTTCTTCAGAGTTCTAAGGTCTATGTTCTTCAGAGTTCTAAGGACTATGTTCTTCAGAGTTCTAAGGTCTATGTTCTTCAGAGTTCTAAGGTCTATGTTCTTCAGAGTTCTAAGGACTATGTTCTTCAGAGTTCTAAGGACTATGTTCTTCAGAGTTCTAAGGTCTATGTTCTTCAGAGTTCTAAGGTCTATGTTCGTCAGAGTTCTAAGGTCTATGTTCTTCAGAGTTCTAAGGACTATGTTCTTCAGAGTTCTAAGGTCTATGTTCTTCAGAGTTCTAAGGACTATGTTCTTCAGAGTTCTAAGGTCTATGTTCTTCAGAGTTCTAAGGTCTATGTTCTTCAGAGTTTTAACGTCTATGTTCTTCAGAGTTCTAGAGTCTCTGTTCTTCAGAGTTCTAAGGTCTATGTTCTTCAGAGTTCTAAGGACTATGTTCTTCAGAGTTCTAAGGTCTATGTTCTTCAGAGTTCTAAGGTTTAGGTTCTTCAGAGTTCTAAGGTCTAAGTTCTTCAGAGTTCTAAGGTCTATGTTCTTCAGAGTTCTAGGGTCTATGTTCTTCAGAGTTCTAAGGTCTATGTTCTTCAGAGTTCTAAGGTCTAAGTTCTTCAGAGTTCTAAGGTCTATGTTCTTCAGAGTTCTAAGGACTATGTTCTTCAGAGTTCTAAGGTCTATGTTCTTCAGAGTTCTAAGGTCTATGTTCTTCAGAGTTCTAAGGACTATGTTCTTCAGAGTTCTAAGGTCTATGTTCTTCAGAGTTCTAAGGTCTATGTTCTTCAGAGTTCTAAGGTCTATGTTCTTCAGAGTTCTAAGGTCTAAGTTATTCAGAGTTTTAAGGACTATGTTCTTCAGAGTTCTAAGGTCTAAGTTCTTCAGAGTTCTAAGGTTTAAGTTATTCAGAGTTTTAAGGACTATGTTCTTCAGAGTTCTAAGGTCTATGTTCTTCAGAGTTCTAAGGTCTAAGTTCTTCAGAGTTCTAAGGACTATGTTCTTCAGAGTTCTAAGGTCTATGTTCTTCAGAGTTCTAAGGACTATGTTCTTCAGAGTTCTAAGGTCTATGTTCTTCAGAGTTCTAAGGTCTATGTTCTTCAGAGTTATAAGGTCTATGTTCTTCAGAGTTATAAGGTCTATGTTCTTCAGAGTTCTAAGGACTATGTTCTTCAGAGTTATAAGGTCTATGTTCTTCAGAGTTATAAGGTCTATGTTCTTCAGAGTTCTAAGGTCTAAGTTCTTCAGAGTTCTAAGGACTATGTTCTTCAGAGTTATAAGGTCTATGTTCTTCAGAGTTCTAAGGTCTATGTTCTTCAGAGTTCTAAGGTCTAAGTTATTCAGAGTTTTAAGGACTATGTTCTTCAGAGTTCTAAGGTCTAAGTTCTTCAGAGTTCTAAGGACTATGTTCTTCAGAGTTCTAAGGTCTATGTTCTTCAGAGTTCTAAGGACTATGTTCTTCAGAGTTCTAAGGTCTATGTTCTTCAGAGTTCTACGGTCTATGTTCTTCAGAGTTCTAAGGTCTATGTTCAGCTCTAACATGTGTATTCTACATGTGTGTTAAATTTCCATGATTGCATCGTCCTCAGGGAGAGGCCGGTCCGACTGGAGCCCGTGGACCTGAAGGTGCTCAAGGACCTCGTGGAGAGTCTGGGAGCCCTGGATCCTCAGGACCCTCTGGTGCTTCTGTGTGTGAACCATTGACTAATAAAGTTATTCTGTTTGTATCGTTTATTAAACACATTTATCTGTGAAGGGCAACCCTGGAAGTGACGGGCTCCCGGGATCCAAGGGATCATCTGTGAGTCTCTCTTTGTATATACAGTATATATATAAATATATATATATATATATATAAATATATATTAGGGCTGTCAAAATTATCGCGTTAACGCACGTTAATTAATTTTTTTCATTAATCGCGTTAAAAAAAATTAAAGCATTTGACGCATGCCCATGCGTCCCATAATAACACTCAGAATGCCGCGGACACATGCGTGTGTAAGACGGGACAGAGCAGGTCTCTGGGAATTCAAGTTTTGAAAGAACACACGCGTGACCGTGGGGCACGTGTTGTTTCCTGTATGAACTCTGCATGATGAGCTGCGGGCGCCACAGCGCTCTGGACCGTTCCCACTTCCAGCGGCTGTGGTCACGGCGAACGGCGCTGCGTAATGGGATCATATCCAAGACCACGCACAGAACTATTACAGAACTATTACAGAACTATTCTCTAGTGTGCGTACGTGTCTTTGTGTAACCGATGCACACAATATGTACAGACTGTTTTGAAATGTCCCTCATCTGTAACAAACAATGGTTTTGGTCTGAGTCTAAACAGAAAGACAGAATGTTAATAATGTTAATGCCATTTTATATGGATTTATTGTTATAACAAACAAATACAGTTCATATGTTCACTAAGCTGTCATTTATCTTTCCATTCAAACAACCATTTACAGAGAAATATGGCATAATTTTGCCAATAGTTTGAAATGCGATTAATTACGATTAATTCATTTTTATGCTGTAATTACCTCGATTAAAAAAATTAATCGTTTATATATATATATATAAAATGTATATGATGTTGTTTTCTACAGGGAGCTCCAGGTATCGCTGGTGCCCCTGGGTTCCCAGGACCTCGTGGACCTCCGGGGCCTCAGGGAGCCACTGGACCTCTGGGACCAAAGGGGACCTCAGTATGTGACATCACATTTATACATTTAACATATATAAATGTATACATATTTATATATATATGTGTGTTTGTCTCAGGGAGACGCAGGTATCGCAGGGTTCAAAGGTGAAGCTGGACCAAAAGGAGAAATCGTAAGTGACTGATTTTAACTTTGTCCAAAATTATAAATAACATTTGTGTCGTTCCAGGGACCAGTGGGTCTACAGGGGGCACATGGGCCTCAGGGAGAGGAGGGCAAACGAGGACCCAGAGGAGAACCAGGATCAGCGGGACCTCTGGGACCTCCAGGAGAGAGAGTCAGTCTCACTCATGGTTTAGATATTCATTTATATAAACTCTAACATGTGTCTGTGTCTGTCGTCAGGGAACCCCCGGGAACCGAGGCTTCCCAGGTCAGGACGGTCTGCCCGGTCCCAAGGTGAGACCCAGACCCAGACTCTGAGCCAGACTCAGACCCAGACTCAGACCTAGACTCAGACTCTGACCCGGACTCTGATCCCAAACAGGGGGCCCCTGGAGAGCGAGGTTCTGCTGGAGCCAGTGGACCCAAAGGAGCCGGAGGAGACCCGGGGCGTCCTGGAGAGTCTGGTCTACCTGGAGCCAGAGTGAGTCACACTGTCACAATCTGTGGAGTCTACCTGCAGGAGAAGACAGGTCGGACCTCCGAAGCTAAGCAGGGCAGGGCCTGGTTAGTGCTGTGATGGGAGACCTCTGGAGCTAAACAGGGCAGGGCCTGGTTAGTGCTGTGATGGGAGACCTCTGGAGATAAGCAGGGCAGGGCCTGGTTAGTACTGTGATGGGAGACCTCTGGGAACAGCAGGTGCCACAGTGGGGCGGCTGTAAAGTTCCAAACTGTGGTTGTGTCCTTAGGCAAGACACTTCCCCCACATTAGAATGAGTCTGGTGTGTGTGTGAATGGTTGGTGGTGGTGGGAGGGGCCGATGGCACAGACTGGTTGCCTCGCTTCTGTCATTGTGCCCCAGGGCAGTTGTGGCTAATCATGTGAAGAGAAGATTGAGAGTCCAGAAAAGAACTGTATAAAACTGATGTACTAATTCAAGTCATAATAACTTTGAAATGATTAATAATCCATTTCATGTGGCGTGTTCTTGTTCGACACAGTGGCGTTTGCATGTTCTTCCTGTGTCTATGCAGGTTTCCTCCGAATGCTCCGGTTTTCCCTCCCTCTAAAAACATGTAGAATAAGTCAAATGCAGAGGATACAGTTCATCCAGCGACAATAATGTGTACGTTTAAGACCTTTATAAAAGCAAATCCTCAGAGTGTCATTGGATTAAGTGAAGAAGAAGAGGAAGAGAAGGAAGAGAAGGAAGAGGAGGAGCTTTGTGTCAGTTTTTGTTTTCTGTGGATCAGAAATGACAGAAATGATCTTTAAACTCAGACGAGGAATGTGACTTTGACAGTTACCGTAGTTTCCATAGTTACTATAGTTACCATCGTTACCATAGTTACCATAGTTACCATAGTTACCATAGTTTCCAGGAGAGGTTTGTGTTCAACTGTTGGAAGGTTGTGATGTCACATGACCACAGCCGTTTAGATGTGAATGTGGATCTGAAGAAATGAGGTCGTGTTTATCAGGAGGTGATGTCACATGTTGGAAATATATTTCTGCACATATGGTGAAGTGTGATGTCACATTCTGCCTGTTTCACCGACCCCATCTGACATAAATCTGTGTCTCTAACTTAAAGCTGTAGCTCTAACTTAGAGCTGTATCTCTAACTTAAAGCTGTAGCTCTAACTTAGAGCTGTATCTCTAACTTAAAGCTGTATCTCTATCTTAGAGCTGCATCTCTAACTTAGAGCTGTATCTCTAACTTAGAGCTGTATCTCTAACTTAAAGCTGTATCTCTAACTTAAAGCTGCATCTCTAACTTAGAGCTGTATCTCTAACTTAGAACGGTATCTCTAACTTAAAGCTGTATCTCTACCTTAGAGCTGCATCTCTAACTTAAAGCTGTATCTCTAACTTGGAGCTACATCTCTAACTTAGAGCTCTCTGCACAGGGTCTGACTGGTCGTCCTGGAGACGCGGGGCCTCAGGGCAAAGGAGGACCGTCCGTGAGTAACTTTGAAGTTAATATAAAAACATTCTTTAGTTTAAAGATGTTTAAAATCCAGCTCTAAAAACGCTATTTTTTCTTTTTGCTTTTATAAACGTCTCGAGTCTTTTCCATATTTCAGTTTTAGCAAAATCCGCTGTTTGTCAAATCTTCTTTAGTTTAAAGACTTTTCATTCATTTTTTGCTAAAAGTTCAATAAAACCAAATGCACTAAAGTAAGTCATCTTTATTTTTATAGAACTTTTATATAAAACTTTTATATAGCACTTTTATATAAAACTTTTATATAGCACTTTTATATAGCACTTTTATATAAAACTTTTATATAGCACTTTTATATAAAACTTTTATATAGCACTTTTATATAAAACTTTTATATAGCACTTTTATATAAAACTTTTATATAGCACTTTTATATAGCACTTTTATATAAAACTTTCATATAACACTTTTATATAGCACTTTTATATAGCACTTTTATATAGCACTTTTATATAACACTTTTATATAGCACTTTTATATAGGACTTTTATATAGCACTTTTATATAGCACTCTTATATAGGACTTTTATATAACAAATTTATATAACACTTTTATATAGCACTTTTATATAACACATTTATATAGCACTTTTATATAACAATTTCATACAACACTTTGATATAGCACTTTTATATAGCACTTTTCTATAGCACTTTTATATAGCATATTTATACAGCACTTTTATATAGCATATTTATAGAGCACTTTTATATAGCACTTTTATACAGCACTTTTATATGGCACTTTCATGTAACACATTTACATAACAATTTTATGTAGCACTTTTATACAGCAATTTTATACAAAACTTTTATATAGCACTTTTATATAGCACTTTTATATAACACTTTTATATAGCACTTTTATATAGCACTTTTATATAACACTTTTATATAGCAATTTTGTATAACACTTTTATATAGCACTTTTATATAGCACATTTATATAGCACTTTTATATAGCATATTTATATAGCACTTTTATATAGCACTTTTATACAGCACTTTTATATAGCACTTTTACATAGCACTTTTATATAACACTTTTATATAGCACTTTTATATAACACATTTATATAGGACTTTTATATAATACATTTATATAACACTTTTATATAGCACTTTTATACAGCACTTTTATATAGCACTTTTATATAGCACTTTTATATAGCACTTTTATATAAAACTTTTATATAACACTTATATAGCACTTTTATATAGCACTTTTATATAGCACTTTTATATAGGACTTTTATATAGCACTTTTATATAGCACTTTTATATAGGACTTTTATATAACAAATTTATATAACACTTTTATATAGCACTTTTATATAACACATTTATATAGCACTTTTATATAACAATTTCATACAACACTTTTATATAGCACTTTTCTATAGCACTTTTATATAGCATATTTATACAGCACTTTTATATAGCATATTTATAGAGCACTTTTATATAGCACTTTTATACAGCACTTTTATATGGCACTTTCATGTAACACATTTACATAATTTTATGTAGCACTTTTATATAGCAATTTTATACAAAACTTTTATATAGCACTTTTATATAACACATTTATATAGGACTTTTATATAATACATTTATATAACACTTTTATATAGCACTTTTATATAGCACTTTTATATAGCACTTTTGTATAGCACTTTTATATAACACATTTACATAACACTTTTATATAACACTTTTATATAGCACTTTTATATAGCACTTTTATATAACACTTTTATATAGCACTTTTATATAGCACTTTTATATAGCATATTTATATAGCAGTTTTATATAGCACTTTTATATAGCACTTTTATATAGCACTTTTATATAACACTTTTATATAGCACTTTTATATAGCACTTTTACATAGCACTTTTATACAACACTTTTTCATAGCACTTTTATATAGCACTTTTATATAGGACTTTTATATAGGACTTTTATATAGGACTTTTATATAGGACTTTTATATAACAAATTTATATAACACTTTTATATAGCACTTTTATATAACACATTTATATAGCACTTTTATATAACAATTTCATACAACACTATAGCACTTTTATATAGCACTTTTCTATAGCACTTTTATACAGCACTTTTATATGGCACTTTCATGTAACACATTTACATAACAATTTTATGTAGCACTTTTATATAGCAATTTTATACAAAACTTTTATATAACACTTTTATATAGCACTTTTATATAGCACTTTTTTATAGCACTTTTACATAACACTTTTTCATAGCACTTTTATATAACACTTTTATATAGCACTTTTATATAGCACTTTTATTAAACACTTTTATATAGCACATTCATACAGCACTTCTATATAGCACATTTATATAGCACTTTTTCATAGCACTTTTATATAACACTTGTATTCTGTCGTGAGTAAAGACCTCCTTTCGCTCCTCGTAGGGAGCAGCAGGAGAAGATGGCCGCCCAGGACCTCCAGGGCCTCAGGGAGGTCGCGGTCAGCCGGGGGTCATGGGGTTCCCTGGACCCAAAGGAGCTTCTGTGAGTGACATCATCAGTGACATCATCAGGACAGGTCTAACTTCAGTGACATCATCAGGACAGGTCTAACATCAGTGACATCATCAGGACAGGGTTAACATCAGTGACATCATCAGGACAGGTCTCAGTGACATCATCAGAACAGGTTTAACATCAGTGACATCATCAGGACATGTCATCAGTGACATCATCAGGACAGGTCTAACATCAGTGACATCATCAGGACAGGGTTAACATCAGTGACATCATCAGGACAAGGTTAACATCAGTGACATCATCAGGACAGGTCTAACATCGGTGACATCATCAGGACAGGGTTAACATCAGTGACATCATCAGGACAGGGTTAACATCAGTGACATCATCAGGACAGGTCTCAGTGACATCATCAGAACAGGTTTAACATCAGTGACATCATCAGGACATGTCTAACATCAGTGACATCATCAGGACAGGTCTAACATCAGTGACATCATCAGGACAGGGTTAACATCAGTGACATCATCAGGACAGGTCTAACATCAGTGACATCATCAGGACAGGTCTAACATCAGTGACATCATCAGGACAGGGTTAACATCAGTGACATCATCAGGACAGGTCTAACATCAGTGACATCATCAGGACAGGATTAACATCAGTGACATCAGGACAGGTTTAACATCAGTGACATCATCAGGACAGGGTTAACATCAGTGACATCATCAGGACAGGTCTAACTTCAGTGACATCATCAGGACAGGGTTAACATCAGTGACATCAGGACAGGTCTAACATCAGTGACATCATCAGGACAGGGTTAACATCAGTGACATCATCAGGACAGGTCTAACATCAGTGACATCATCAGGACAGGTCTAACATCAGTGACATCATCAGGACAGGTCTAACATCAGTGACATCATCAGGACAGGTCTAACATCAGTGACATCATCAGGACAGGTCTAACATCAGTGACATCATCAGGACAGGATTAACATCAGTGACATCATCAGGACAGGTCTAACATCAGTGACATCATCAGGACAGGTCTAACATTAGTGACATCATCAGGACAGGATTAACTTCGGTGACATCATCAGGACAGGTCTAACATCGGTGACATCATCAGGACAGGTCTAACATCAGTGACATCATCAGGACAGGTCTAACATCAGTGACATCATCAGGACAGGATTAACATCAGTGACATCATCAGGACAGGGTTAACATCAGTGACATCATCAGGACAGGTCTAACATCAGTGACATCATCAGGACAGGGTTAACATCAGTGACATCATCAGGACAGGTCTAACATCAGTGACATCATCAGGACAGGTCTAACATCGGTGACATCATCAGGACAGGTCTAACATCAGTGACATCATCAGGACAGGGTTAACATCAGTGACATCATCAGGACAGGGTTAACATCAGTGACATCATCAGGACAGGTCTAACATCAGTGACATCATCAGGACAGGTCTAACATCAGTGACATCATCAGGACAGGTCTAACTTCAGTGACATCATCAGGACAGGTCTAACATCAGTGACATCATCAGGACAGGGTTAACATCAGTGACATCATCAGGACAGGTCTAACATCAGTGACATCATCAGGACAGGTCTAACATCAGTGACATCATCAGGACAGGATTAACTTCAGTGACATCATCAGGACAGGTCTAACATCGGTGACATCATCAGGACAGGTCTAACATCAGTGACATCATCAGGACAGGTCTAACATCAGTGACATCATCAGGACAGGATTAACATCAGTGACATCATCAGGACAGGGTTAACATCAGTGACATCATCAGGACAGGTCTAACATCAGTGACATCATCAGGACAGGGTTAACATCAGTGACATCATCAGGACAGGTCTAACATCAGTGACATCATCAGGACAGGTCTAACATCGGTGACATCATCAGGACAGGTCTAACATCAGTGACATCATCAGGACAGGTCTAACTTCAGTGACATCATCAGGACAGGGTTAACATCAGTGACATCATCAGGACAGGTCTAACATCAGTGACATCATCAGGACAGGGTTAACATCAGTGACATCAGGACAGGTCTAACATCAGTGACATCATCAGGACAGGTCTAACATCAGTGACATCATTAGGACAGGTCTAACTTCAGTGACATCATCAGGACAGGTCTAACATCAGTGACATCATCAGGACAGGGTTAACATCAGTGACATCATCAGGACAGGTCTAACATCAGTGACATCATCAGGACAGGTCTAACATCAGTGACATCATCAGGACAGAGAAGTCTAACATGAAAGAGACTAAAGTTTTTTTGTTTTAGGGCGAACCGGGAAAGTCTGGAGACAAAGGTCTGGCTGGAGCCCCAGGTCTGAGAGTGAGTCATTATTACTACTATCTATAGTGTAGTATATAGTATAGTATTATCTATAGTGTAGTCTATAGTATTGTATTATCTATAGTGTAGTGTATAGTACAGTATTATCTATAGTGTAGTGTATAGTATAGTATAGTATTATATATAGTGTAGTGTATAGTATAGTATTATCTATAGTGTAGTGTATAGTACAGTATTATCTATAGTGTAGTGTATAGTACAGTATTATCTATAGTGTAGTGTATAGTACAGTATTATCTATTGTGTAGTGTATAGTACAGTATTATCTATTGTGTAGTGTATAGTATAGTATTATCTATAGTGTAGTGTATAGTATAGTATTATCTATAGTAGTATTATATTAACATAGTATATATTGGTATAGTATATATTAGTATAGTATATATTAGTATAGTATATATTAGTATAGTATATATTAGTCTAGTATATATTAGTCTAGTATATATTAGTCTAGTATATATTAGTCTTGTTGTGTATAAATGTTCGAACTGGAGACACAGACCACCAGGAAACAGTTGTAGCTTGTTATACCCCACATTTATTTGTAGTTGCCATGGTTCTGTAAAGTAGGGTAAATATGTCTCAGTCAATAATCATCATATTAGACTGGTAAACAATTAAACAATACACAAGAATCTTAAACAATAGTACTTACATTTGTAGCAGAAACAAAAGACGCATGGTCAACATAAAATGGGGAAACAATGGACTACAAACAGGAAGGCCTACTTATAGCCTCTCTAGAGTTTGGGTGTGTCCTCCTGCTCCCAGGTGCCTCCATCTTGTGGACACCTGCGGAATTGCTACATTGTCTGTTATTTACTGGAGTTTGTGACAGCCGCCCCCATATTTGTGCAGCAAATATGCTATTTTCAATCGTCATCAGGGACTTCCGGAAGAGGTATCAGTCTGGAGACAGGCCGCAGGTATTCTCTGGTTTTAACATTTATTTTAGCAGTGCGAACTCGTCCATCTGATCCTGGATGAATTGAGGTGACCTTCCCTAATAATCATGACGCACGAGGGGACTGAGGGTCAACAAGTAACACAACTTGCCCTGGTTTTAAGTTTTCTTGATCGACCTTCCATTTTGCACGACTTTGTTGAGAAGGAAGATAGTAGCGTATGAAAGCTGTCCAAAACTTGTCAGCTAGAATTTGACTGTGGCGCCATTTCCTTTTGCCCAGAAGTTCGCTCTCACAGTAGATGGCTTGTGGTAAGGAGCAATCTGGCCGCCCCATCAAAAGCATGTTTGGTGTCACTGGGTCAAGATCTGCTACATTGGAGGATATGTATCCTAAGGGCTTTGAATTTAGAATACTCTCAACCTCTGTCAGGACAGTAGTTAGGATCACATCTGTCGTAGTTTGATTCCCCATTGCTACATTCAGGGCAGACTTGATGGATTTAATTTCACGTTCCCAGCTACCACCAAAATGTGGAGCTGATGGGGGATTGAACTGAAAATGCACTTGTGACTGGGCCAGCTCCCGTTTTAAAGTAGGGGTCAGAGATTCAAAAGAACGTTTGAGTTCTACCTCAGCAGCCTTGAAATTTGTTCCACAATCAGAGATTGTCCGCTCCTGCTTCTGAACGGCTTGCTATCTCCTGTTTTTGTCTTTTTTCCTGGAGTTTTGCCACAGACAACTTTAACAGAATGGAAATGATTAACTGGTCCCTCAACGCAATTGATTCTATCTTTTCAACACGTAAGCGCGGGTCTGGAGAGCCCGTGTGCCCGGACGGGACTTCACCAGCGGGGTATACGCTTGACAGCTGGAACAAGTTTCAGCCCCTCTGTCTGTCGACCCTGTCCATTGAAGATTCGGAAGACGTATATATCTTTGGCATTTTGGTGGTGGGGATCCTCCTGTTTGGGTTTGGAGCGGTTCTCTTCTACCACAAATTCGGAGGCATGGCAGTTCGCAAGATTCACGACCTGCTGGCCGAAAAAATTGATGGGATGTACAAGGAGCTTAACCGAGTCGTGGTTGAGAGCGCTGTGGCCGGACAACGAAGAGTGGTGTTAGTGGAACAGTTGATCAAAGATCTCGCAGCTCGTTCACTTGATGGTCATAAGACTCTGGAATTGAGATTGAATGACATTGTCTGCCAGGCTTGAACTCTCTGACCCGGCTTGGATTTGCCCCTGTGTACGGGGTCTGAGGGCGCTGTAATTTGGTCTAATTGGATTTAATAGAATATCTGCCTGTTTTTGACTGCTAAACTGCATACAATATTGTCCCTCGTTACAGGAGATGTGTTCTCTCCCTATTGTGTCTTCCCTCCTCTCTTATCTCACATTCCTCGGGCCAAGGCCATCATAATAAATCTGGTCTCTACAAAATATTTCACACTCTTTCAGTCTTCCAGTTTGGATCCCGCTCCCCCCGCCTCCCTCTGATCTCTCCCTCCCCTCCCCTCCTTACTGTGTTTCCGACTCACCCCCTCCCTGACCCCGCCCCCCTCTGACAGCCACATTGGACCGGCAGGCCGGAGGTGCTCATCCCGTGAAAAAAATCCGTGGTTTATACAAAGCACAATGTTTTCTATCCAACTGTCTGTTGTTACCTGAATGTTATTGCTCTCTGCTGTTTCTTGCTGCACACAGCGCC